TCAGAGCTAACAAGGTGTAGAGCTGGATGAACACAGCAGGCCAAGCACGAAAGCTGACGGTTTGGGCCTAGACCCTTCAGAAGAAGGGTCTAGGCCCGAAACATCAGCTTTCCTGCTCCTATGATGCTGCTTGGCCCGCTGTGTTCATCCAGCTCTACACCTTGTTACCCCTATCCTTTTCCCGTTCTATTTTAGGTGATAAGCAACAAAAAGAAAGCTGCTTGTGATCTAGTGGGCACAGACGTGAAGTGCCTATCACCATAGATAATTTCTGTAACCAATGGGTGTGATATGGATGTTTCAGTTTTATTTTATTGTTCTAACCACTGTCTGACCACTTCTGACCATAGGAAATTTCTGACCACTGTCCATAGGAAAATTGGTGGTGGTGTTACCCTTTTTAGGGAATTTACTTAGGAGGAGTGAGTACAATTTCATCATTTAAGAAACATTTAGACAGGTACACGAATGGGATAGGTATTGAGGGACATGGAATGAACACAGGCAAATGGCATAGTTTAATTGTGAAAACTGGGCAGCATAGGTAAGGTAAGGCAAAGAGTTGTTCCCATGTTTTAGATCACTATGACTCTTAAGACTTGCTTGTGTATGTATGGGGTTGAATGTAGTATTTATTGCAGCCTATCACAAAATGGGAGACTTTCAAGTGACACAAAGTTTGTTGCTTCTATATGCATTACAGTATATTTCCCTTGATTAACATTCATCTGTGGTGTCTTAGCCCACCCACATGAAAAAAATCAATCTTCTTTCTACTTGTTATATGTCAACAAAGTCATGCGTTATCAGCAAATACAATTTTAAATGTCCTATTAATATTAACAGATCGTTTAAAACATCATATTCTTGACAAGTACAACCAACTATCCCCAGACAAAATTCCTCCCACTGCATTACCCTCTGACTTAGATTGCAAAGTTAATTTTGATCCATCTTTATGGGTTAGAACATATTCCACAAGTCTTATTATACACTTTAAGCCATGGGGAACTTTGTCAACAAGGTGCAGGGTTGGATGAACACAGCAGGCCAAGCAGCATCATAGGAGCAGAGAGGCTGACGTTTCGGGCCTAGACCCTTCAGTGTGAAATGTGAAAGATGAAGTGTAAAGGATAAATGGTTTCTGCTCAGCTCCCTCTCACATTCAGTTTCAGTGATCTTGGCCTTGAACCAAGTCAGCCATCATTATCATGAGAATATTGGGAGAAGCTTTAAAAGAGAGACTCATGGGAATACAGTAAAATAGCCAAAGTTAAGTAGCTTTGTTTTGTGACTGCAGGTTGCAAATGGATGATGAGGTGAGACAACGAGAGAAAGAGCGTGAACACAAGAAGGAAAAGGATTGGGAAAGGGGGACTCCTCAAGAAAGAGATCCAGATGCGATCACAGAACAAGGCAGAAAGAGAGAAAAGCAGCAAATAATGGAATGGGAGAAAGAGATTAAACGAAGGAAAGAAATGAAGCAGGAGAAAGACCTTGAGATCGAACACGGGGTAGAGAAAAAAGCAATTCCAACCAATGACGCAGGAAGGAAACGTCTAGAAGGATGGAAGGATTTCATTTCTGCAATGGAACACATCCAACCTCATCAAAGGAATGATGAACATATAAGCCCATGGCATGTTATCCCATCAACTCCACCAGGTATTGTGTCACAGTTTTCTGCCACTTGTTTATATAAATAGATACATCTTACCCATTAAAGCTCTACCAGCTGCACAGAAAGAAAATTATTGAATATAACTAAGCTGGAGAGGGTTCAGAAGAGGTTTACCAGGATGTTGCCAGATATGGAAGGTTTGAGTTATAAGGGCTGGATAGATTAGTACTTTCTTCACTGGAACGTAGAAGGTTGAAAGTTGACTTTGTACAGATTTTAAAAAACATGAGGGATATAGATAAGATTAATAGTAGGTGTCTTTTCCTTAGCGTGGGGGATTTCAAGACTAGGGGGTATATTTTAAGGTGAGAGGAGAGAGATCTAAAAAAGATATGAGGGGTAAACTTTTTATACAGAGGGTGGTTTGCATGTGGAATGAACTTGCTGCGGAAATGGTGGGTATGGGCATAGTTACAGTGTTTAAAAGACATTTAGATAAGAATTGAATAGGAAGGGTTTGGAGGGATATGGGCCAGGAGCAGACAGGTGGGACTAGTTATTTTGGGATTATGTTCGGCAGGGACTGGTTGGACCAAAGGGTCTGTATCCATGCTGTATGACTCTGACTGTACAACATCTTATATCAATAAGCATAAACAGAGCAAACTTTTTGTTAAGTGGCACTTATGAAACCAGGAGTATGCAGGTTGATCAAATATTCCAGTTGATCAAGAGGTTCACATAATCAATGTAAAAACACACACCAAATAGTAGACTATAATGCAGGGGGTATACACGTCACTGTTGTACTTTATTTACAGCATAAATCACTTAAATAATAATGCAATTTTGCGGTAAATAAAACTTATTGGCGGAGACCCTTCCCACTTGCACCTCCAAATTACTAGTCAAACATCACAGCGGATTGCAATAATGCAGTAAACTTAAGGTATTTTGGGTATATAATTTTTCCAGGTTATCAAGAGTGCTTGTTCATTAAGTGCCAGTTAAAACAAAGTTTGCTGTAAATATTTTCTAATCACCTCATTCAGAGATGTTATTACACATCTTTAAAGCAGGTGAGCCCTGAATCCAGGTCTTTCTGGCTCAGAGATATGGACACTACCACTGTGCCGTAAGAGCTCCCAGGCCAGTTTATATCTGGTCCAATAGAATGTAATGCAGGTGGCTGATTCACTTTTGTCTGTTTTGTATCTCTGCACAAGTCGTCTTCAAAACCATTACTATAACGTTCACAGAATGATAGCGTAGTGCTAATGTTATGAGGCCAGGAATCCAAACCTGTAATATTGCTCAGGAGACAGGAGTACAAGTCACCTAAATAAATACATAAGACCATAAGACATAGGAGCAGAAGTTATGCCATTCGGCCCATTGAGTCTGCTCCGCCATTCAATCATGGCTGATACGTTTTTCACCCCCATTCTCCCACTTTCTCCCTGTAACCTTTGATCCCCTTGACAATCAAGAACCTATCTAGCTTAAAATGTCTCAAATACTACTCAGAGAGTAGTAAGGGCGTGGAATGCCCTGCCTGCAAAAATAGTAGACTCGCCCACTTTAAGGGCATTTAAATGGTCATTGGATAAACATATGGATGATAATGGAATAGTTTAGGTTAGATGGGCTTCAGATTGGTTTCACAGGTCGGCGCAACATCGAGGGCCGAAGGGCCTGTACTGCGCTGTAATGTTCTATGTTCTATGTTCAAATATATTCAATGACCTGGCCTCCACAGCCTTTTGTGACAACGAATTTTACAGATTCACCACTCTCTAGCTGAAGGCGTTTCTCCTTATCTCCATTCTAAAGGGTTTTCACCAGAGCTTTATAAAGCCACAGAAGTACATCCCTGCTTTTTTATTCTAGTCCTTTCAAGATAAGTGCCAACATTGTATTTGCCTTCCTAACTACCGACTCAACCTGCAAGTTTACATGAAGAAAAACCTGGAGTCCCAAGTCCCTTTGCACTTCAGATTTCTGAATTTTCTCCCCATTTAGAAAATAGTCCAGGATTCTGTTCTTCCTACCAAAGTGCATGACTTCACACTTTTCCACATTGTATTCCATCTGCTACTCCTTTGTCCACTCTCCCGACCTGTCTAAATCTTCTGCAGCCTCCCTGCCTCCTCACTACTCCCTCTCCCTCCATCTATCCTTGTATCATTTGAAAACTTAGCCAGAATGCCCTCAGTTCCTTCATCTAGATCATTAATGTATAAAGTGAACAGTTGTAGTCCCAACACTGGCCCTTGTGGAATGCCACTAATCACCAGCTGCCATCCTCAGAAGGACCCTTTTATCCCCACACTCTGCTTTCTGCCAGACAGCCAATTTTCTATCCATGCTAGTACCTTGCCTCTAACACCATGCGCTCTTATCTTACTCAACAGCCTCCTGTGTAGCACCTAGTCAAAGGCCTTCTGGAAGTCCAGATAGATAACATCCATTGGCTCTCCTTGGTCTAGTCTGCTCATTATCTCTTCAAAGAATTCTGACAGATTTGTCAGGCATGACCTCCCCTTGATGAAACCATGCTGACTTTGCCCTATTTTACCATGCACTTCCAAGTATTCAGAAATCTCATCCTTCACAATGGATTCCAACATCTTACCAATGACCTCTGAAATAAGAAAGCTTGTCTCAGTAATAATGACCGTGAAATCACTATTATTGTAAAGAAACCATCTGGTTCACCATTGTTCATTTGGGAAGGGAGCCTGATGGTCTTACTCAGTCTGGCCTTGCAAGCCACTAAGTTTTATCAAATAGGTACAGGAAAATCAAATAAAAATGAAACTAGACTGTAGTGATTAGAATCAGCTGGTTCTCATTGACTGGGGTTGTTAACCTGGGCTAATCGGGAAGCCCCGGTTGACCAATATAAACAGGGAATTTAGAATCTCCTCAGTTCAGGAAAATGACCTTGAGCTGGCTGGCCACAGCCAGTGTACTGTACACATATGATGGGATACCGGCCTCTGTGCAGTTACTTCACAGACAGTTTTCTGAGCATTGACTTAGGCACCAAATAAACCAAAGGCACACCCTATCAATACACTAGAACACAAGAAATAGGACCAGGAGTGGCTCATCGAGCCTGCTGTGCCATTTTGTGCAATCATGGCTAACCTCAGGCTTCAACTCCACCTTTTTGCCCACTCCCCATATCCTTTCATTCCCTGAAATACGAAAAATCTGCCTACTCTAGCTGTAAGTGTATTCAACGATAGAACCTCGACATCCCTCTGGGGTAGGGAATTCAATAGAGTCAGAGAAATCACAGAATCATGGGAAGTGTATGTTGCAGAAAAAGACCACTTGATTCCTCATGTCTGCGGCGGCCAAAAGCAAGCCACCCATTTCTGAAGAAAGGTCCTGACCCGAAACGTCAGCTTTCCTGCTCCTCTGATGCTGCCTGGCCTGCTGTGTTCCTCCAGCTCCATACTGTGTTATCTCAGATTCCAGCATTGGCAGTTCTTACTATCTCTACCCAGCCTAATCCGACTTCTGACCATTCAATCTATGGTCCTGCAGGTTAAAGTACTTGAGAGGTCCAAGTCCAGACACATTCTAAATGGTCTGAGGTTGTCTGCTTCTATCAGCATTTGAACAGTGGGTTCCAATTCCCTACCAGCTTTTAGGTGAAAAAGTGTTTCCAAATCCATCCACTTATTGTACTACCAATCACTTTAAATGCATGCCTCCTCACCGCTGACCTTTCTGGTGAGATAAGTGGGTCCTTCATAATATTGTACATCTCGAACAAATCTCCCCTCAACCCCTTTGTTCCAAGGAGAACAACATCAGCTTATCCATTTCTTTCCCCACATAGCTGCATTTTTCCTCTCCTCATCTCATCTCAAATTGTTCAGTCCATTATCCTAAGACTGCGTGCAGTTTCACTTGATCCTGCAAAGCACATGTCTCTAATATCTGTGGATGTGTACCAAACTCAAGACCTGTTCAACAGAGCAGTTATTTCCACAAAGTTGTATCATACAGACAACAACCCATGGTTCCATCGCCTGGGTACGTAAGCCCAGTCACATAGCCAGCAGGGATTTTACTGTGTCCAAGGCCGCTTGTACCCTGTCTGTATTAGATCCATTTGTAAGATGGCTACCTGGAATGAGTACCTCATGGCAGAGGTCACATGACCACAGCAAGCAAGGAAGCATATTAGTACAAATCATCCAGACATTTTATCATACAAAAAAAAAGCAAATTTGTATGCACAATCATTTACACTGTGAATTATCCCACTTAACTCACTATACAAACAACCTTTATCATGCATTAGCAAAACTACCCATTATTGTAGTTAGCCTATCTTTTGTGATTTCCTTTACACAGATGACACATATATGTGGATTCTTGACTTTGGAAATTGTTGGTTGGAATGATGTGCTCTCTGGTTCTATAGCAAAATCTTCTCGGTTGTCTTAGTTGTCTTAGACACCTCCTTCCTTTATTTGCATTAACTGTGTCCTGCAAGACAATCTTTTTAGTTTTGTTTTATTTTAACATCAAATTTCCTCAGCAATCCCATCTATCTCTGCATTGTCTGTCTGTTTGTGGCCTGTAAAAAACTGTAAATCCCTTCTTGCACATTTAGGGTTACCAGCCTCAGCTCTCAACTTGCTTCTACCGAAATATGTAGTTCTAGCTTCGTATCTAATAAGTAGAATTACAAATCTTCAGCGTCGTCATTGCTTGGGCCCTCAGGCTAATTTGTTGTTTCAGGGTGAACATTGTCCCAGTACAGGGCCTGAACTTTACCTTCAAGACTTCACTTTTGAATTGCCATCTGTTGTAATTTTATACACGTCTGCAAAGCTCAATGTTGAAGGAAGCACTTGTGTCTGTCTGGCATTTCATATTTATTTGATGCTGTCATTCTACCACCTTCATTGCAGTAGTTACAGTCCATTTTCTCCTTTTGACTGGATGTTGCCAACCTGCTCTAAGGTGTAGTTTGAATCATCCAAATCTTCATCCAGCATTTCTCTAATACTGACAC